GAACCGGTTTAAGGATTTAGATTTGGTGGACAGAGTGCCTGAAGAACTATGGATGGAGGCTCGCAACATTATACAGGAGGCAGCAACGAAAACCATCCCAATGAAAAGGAAATGCAAGAAAGCAAAGTGGCTGTCCAACGAGGCCTTACAAATAGCGGGGGAGAGAAGGCAAGCAAAATGCGAGGGAGATAGTGAAAGATACATGAAATTGAATGCAGATTTCCAAAGAATAGTAAGGAGAGACAAAAGGGCCTTCTTAAATGAGCAATGCAAAGAAATAGAGGGAAACAATAGAATGGGGAAAACCAGAGATCTGTTCAAGAAAATTGGAGATATAAAAGGAACACTTCGTTCAAAGATTACCATAATAAAGGACAAAAGTGGTAAGGACCTAACAGAAGCAGAAAACATCAAGAAGAGGTGGCAAGAATACACAGAGGAATTATACCAGAAAGATATGAATGTCTCGTACACTCCAGGTAGTGTGGTTGCTGACCTTGAGCCAGACATCCTGGAGAATGAAGTCAAATGGGCCTTAGAAAGCACTGCTAATAACAAGGCCAGTGGAAGTGATGATATTCCAGCTGATGATGCTGTTAAGGTGCTACACTCAATACGACAGCAAGTTTGGAAAACTCAGCAGTGGCCAGAGGATTGGAGAAGATCAGTCTACATCCCAATCCCAAAGAAGGGCAGTGCCAAAGAATGCTCCAACTACCGCACAATTGCACTCATTTCACACGCTAGCAAGGTTATGCTTAAAATTCTACAAGGCAGGCTTAAGCAGTATGTGGACCGAGAACTCCCAGAAGTGCAAGCTGGTTTTCAAAGGGGCAGAGGAACCAGAGACCAGAGCTATGCAGATGACACAACCTTGGTGGCAGAAAGTGAGGAGGAATTAAAGAACCTTTTAATGAAGGTGAGAGCGCGAAATATGGTCTGAAGCTCAACCTCAAAAAAAACTAAGATCATGGCCACTGGGCCCATCACCTCCTGGCAAATAGAAGGGGGAGAAATGGAGGCAGTGAGAGATTTTACTTTCTTGGGCTCCATGATCACTGCAGATGGTGACAGCAGTCACAAAATTAAAAGACGCCTGCTTCTTTGGAAAAAAGCAATGACAAACCTGGACAGCATCTTAAAAAGCAGAGACATCACCTTGCCAACAAAGGTCCGTATGGTTAAAGCTATGGTTTTCCCAATAGTGATGTATGAAAGTGAGAGCTGGACCATAAATAAGGCTGACCGCCAAAGAATGGATGCTTTTGAATTATGGTGCTGGAGGAGACTCTTGAGAGTCCCATGGACTGCAAGAAGACCAAACCTCTCCATTCTTAAGGAAATCAGCCCTGAGTGCTCACTGGAAGGACAGATCCTGAAGCTGAGGCTCCAGTTCTATGGCCACCTCAAGAGAAGACTCCCTGGAAAAGATCCTGATGCTGGGAAAGATGGAGGGCACAAGAAGAAGGGGACGACAGAGGACGAGATGGTTGGACAGTGTTCTTGAAGCTACCAGCATGAGTTTGACCAACTGCAGTGAGGCAGTGGAAGACAGAAGTGCCTGGCGTGCTCTGGTCCATGGGGTCACGAAGAGGCGGACACGACTAAACGACCAAACAACAACAACAACAAGTTGCTTTGGGAGACGATAATCAGGCATAGCCCAGTTCTGTGAAGCTTGGAGGAGGGTGTGAGGCATCTGGGCTTTAGCAGTACAGTGGTACCTTGGGTTGAGAACTTAATTCGTTCTGGAGGTCCGTTCTTAACCTAAAACTGTTCTTAACCTGAGGTACCACTTTATCTAATGGGGCCTCCCACTGCCGCCGTGCCGCCACTGCACAATTTCTGTCCTCATCCTGAAGCAAAGTTCATAACCTGAGGTACTATTTCTGTACAAGCCAAGCCCTGGCTCCATGGCTTCCCTGAATTAAGGGAATCCTCTTGCCGCCAAGTTGGGAGAGACCCCCTTCTTTCGGCATTGAACGGCCACATGCTCAGAGCGATGGCGGCTGTGCTGCTGCTTCTAAGTCCAGCTCAGCTTCAGCCCCCCCTTGTGCCCCCTTCTAGAACCCACCGCTCTCAACCAACTCTCACCTGCCCCCCCATTCAAACTCCCTTTCCAAGCATCTGCCAATCTTCCGTCTCCACCAGAATTCCACTCTCTCTCTTCCCCCTCCCTCCATGCTTGACATTCCCTTTGGAATTGTAATAGCATCACCTCACAATAATAATATTCAAGACATATGTGTCTTTACTTTGAATACCAGAAGAACTGTATATAGTAGATAGTAGGGTTTAGCTTTGTCTTTTGTCTGGAGACAATAAACACTTTGTTAATTTGAACTGTGTGGGAGATGAGTTTTGGCCTTAACCAGGAAGGAGCTGTTCTGCTGAGAGCAGGACATCTTTGAAGCCTCTGCTAGCGCGCCACTTACTCTGTTGATACATCACGCTGGTTGAAGTGTGGTGATCTACCAATTGACCTCCACAAGTCACCAATATCTGAGATGTTTCAAGATATAGCAGTAAAACAGGGATTGGGGAACCTATAACGCCTATCATCCCTGACCATTGGCTCTGCTGGCTGGGGCTGCTGGAATCTGGAGTTCAGCAACTTCTAAAGGACTACACATTACCCATCCCTGCAGCAAAGCACACTCAGACATCTGCTTGCCATAGCATCTTGCAACATCTGAAACCTCCAAAAGAAAGAAAGGGCCACTTGTACACATATTGGAGCAGGGAGCAGGTCTTTGAGGAAGGGGAGCAATAGAAAACAATGGAAGTTACACCAGAAGTTGTACCAAACATGAGAAAAGAGGAGAGCGTACTACTAGTGGTAATCACATAAAACTTCACACTCTGATGCTAATTACTATTATTTATAGGATAAGCCAATTAAATACTACAACAAGTTAAGTCATACTCCTCTCCTATGCCGATACAAATGTATAAAGCACAGTAAGAGCTGCAGCTGTACAGCAGCTGCTTTAGATAAGGAATAGTGTTTGCCCTCTGAAATGCAATTGCGGCAGGTTCAGTGTGGTGCTCTGATATGGCAAGAAAGCCAGTGAATAATTAAATATTGCCTTGTTGTTTCCTTGGAGGGCCTTGTGTTTATTGCACTGGTTTCTGGATTCTCAGGGTGCTTGATCATGAAACAGGTCTGTAGACCAGCACGCTGCCAGACATTTGTAATTGTTTTGGGACAAAACTAAGGCACTGAATTGCTTGATACTGAAAAGCCCCAAATCACAGCACCTGGAAAAGATTAAAGTCCCTTTCACACATTCTCCACATGAACACACATGCAAAAATGTTTTGCTGATTTCATCTGAGTTTTATTGATAATTATTTCAATATGTGCATGGCTTAAGAGATTTATTTGATTAAGCCATCTATACATTTTTGTAAGAAAAAGAAAAGAACAGAAGATGCTGAATATGTGGAATGGAAAGGGGGATCACATCCACCCACCATACATTTAAAGCACACTTATACCACTTGAATATTCATGGGGAATTCTGGGAACTGTAGTTTCTTTAAGGGTGTTGGGAATTGCTGGTCTGTGAGGTTAGCACCATTAACAAACTACAGTTCCTAGGATTCTTTGTGGAAAGTCATGACTCTCAAAATGGTAAAGAGTTCCTTAAAAGAGTGGTGTGGATGTGACGAACGTGGCAGCAGATTCCGATTCTGACATCTTTACCTCATTGATTTACAAAACAAAAACCATCTCTATTTTTAAACCATTGGAGAGTCATCATAAGAAAGGACTAGCCTTCTGCTTGACATCTAGTTCAATGTGCAGCTGTTTTTGGATGGATGAACATGCAGACATGGGAAGATAAGTGCAAAGACAGTTCTTAATATTCAATGTATATGAATTGATACGATACGATACGATACGATATCTTTATTGTCATTGTCCCTTGCGGAACAATGAAATTGAAAACTACATAAAACTACATAAAAACTACACAAAACTACCACAAAACTACATAAAACTACATAAAACTACATAAAACTACATAAAAACTACATAAAACATTCAAAACCCCCTAAAAACTCTAAATTGCATATGTTAGGATAATTTTGAGAGAGATGATGTTTGCATGCAAAGCAGACACCCTTTTGTGTCTTCTGTGTGGCTTGTCATGGCCAGCTAAATCTTGAAATTTGAAGGAATTGTATCAATTTCAGAAACTCTTTCCGAAATAAAAGGTTGAGATGCAGTGAATGTTCATTATGACCTTCCTAATCTGACTCACAAAAGTTATTTAAAGAGGACTGTGATTTCTGCCTGGTAAATTAAAGTGCTCCAAATATTTCGTTGTCATTCAGTTTGACAACATTTGACTTTATTTGTTTTTTGAGTATGGTTTCAAGATTAAGTGCAATGGGGCAGCAGTTAAACATAAGAAGAGCCTGCTGGATCAGGCCAATGGCCCATCTAGTCCAGTATCCTGTTCTCACAGTGGCCAACCAGATGCCTGTGGGAAACCAGCAAAGCAGAACCTGAGCACAAGAGCAGTCTCCTATCCTGCAGTTTCCGGCAGCTGGTATTTAGAGCTCAACTGTCTCCAGCCATGAGGGCAGAGCATAGTCATCATGGTCACCGATAGCCTTATCCTCCATGAATTTGTCTAATTCTCCTCTAAAGCAACCCAAGTTGGTGCGAATCACTGTCTCCCATGGGAACAAGTTCCATAGTTTAACTGTACATGAAGAAATAGTTTCTTTTATCTGTCCCCAACCCTTCCAACATTCAGCTTCATTTTCTGCTCTCAGTTCTATTAGCAAACTCCAGACTTACAATTTTCTTCAGGATCATAGATGTATGACTGAAAAACAGGTCATGGAACTTCTGAATGGCAGGCTATTTTTATTTCTTTGTCCAATTAAGCCTTTTATCCACTTGAAGATCAAACATAGTTTGGCTTGGGACATTGCTATGACTACACTATTGTCATAGCAATAATGTTCTGCAACAATAGGAACTGGAGGCTTTGAGCCATCCTAGTAACAAACATGCATATAACAACTATGCAAGGCACGAAATATCTAAAATGCTAAGAACGTTCATTCCCCACATCCTGTTAAGGTACATTTTAAATACAGCAGTGTAAGGCAGTAGAGAAAGGAATCCAAGATTAAGCTAAATGGATATTGTACTGATAATCTAATTAGTAATCTCTTTTAGCATGCATTTAGTGTTTAACACCATCAGCCGGTTCTGTTAAAGCACATTTATAGCTTTATATTGGGGATCAGTTTTTATGATTCAGATGTAACAAGAAACTTTGGTTTAAAGTAACCATGATAAAAGTGGCAACTGTGGTACAGAAGGAGAGGATGGGAGGAAGGGGGTGAGCAGGCACAATATGGATTCCTAGCTAAACAGGCCATGATTTATAAAACCAAGTTTAGCCAGGTCCAAGATGTGATAAGAAAGATGAAATTAGGGAAAGCCCCAGGACCGGATGGACTGTCAGCTAAATATTATAAAGTATTAGAAAATCAATTAACCCCAGTGTTATGTGACATCATGAATAATATACTGAGAGGAGGAAAGGTACCAGAGACATGGAAAGAGGCCCACATCACGATGATCCCTAAACCGCAGCTTCAGTGGCTTTAGAAACCAGCTAAGTCATGTTAAGTGTCAAAAGTAGGAACGAAAGAACACAAACTAAAAGCGTACGCAGACGATTTGATGCTATCCCTAGAAGAGCCGCAAAAAAGTGTCAGTAAGGCCCTGGAAATACTAGAAGAATATGGCAAACTATCCGGTTTTAAATTGAATAAATCAAAGACAAAAATGCTGACTAAAAATCTGGGAAAAGATGAAAGAGAAAAATTAGAGATACAGAATGGAATCAAGGTGGCCAAAAAAATAAAATATCTGGGAATATGGCTAACTACAAAAAATATAAATTTTATTCAAGATAATTATTTGACAACATGGAAGGAAATAAAAAAAGATCTAGATACGTGGAACAGGGTGAAACTTTTGTGGTCGGGAAGGATGGCGGCAATAAAAATGAACATACTCCCAAGAATGTTATTCTTGTTCCAAAACATCCCTGTGATTAGAGGTTCCACAATGTTTAAGGATTGGCAGAAAACTCTTTCGAAATTTATATGGCAAGGGAAAAGACCGAGAATTAGATTTAAATTACTTACAGATCGAAAAGAAAGAGGGGGATTCTCGGTGCCAAATCTGAAATTATACTTCGAGGCCTCCTGCCTTTGCTGGATCAAAGATTGGATCAATTTGGAAAATACTGATCTGTTAGACCTAGAGGGTTTCAACAATAGGTTCGGTTGGCATGCCTACTTGTGGCTAAATAAAGAAAAGGTACATAAAGGGTTTTCAAGTCATATTATTAGAGGGCCACTATATGAAGTTTGGCAGAAAAACAAAAAACTTTTAGAATGGAAGACACCCTGGTGGTTATCACCAATTGACATTCTAACAACCAAAAAAGCAAATATGGAAGGAGAAAGATTGACCTACGAAGACCTACTGATAAGATCAGAAAGTGGCTGGAAATTGAGAACATATGAAGAGTTGAAAGATAAATTAACAGGCTGGCTGCAGTATCATCAAATAAACGCAATATGGATGGAAGACAAAAAAGTAGGGATAAGTGAGAAAAAATCCAAATTTCAGATAGAAATAATTGAAGGCAAAACCAAGTTATTATCCAAAATGTATGATATATTATTCGAATGGGATACTAAAGATGAAGAAATAAAGGAGGTTATGACAAAATGGGCAATGGATTTGGGATACAATATAGAATATGAAAAGTGGTCGAAATTATGGAGTTGTGGGATGAAATTTACGGCATGCGTCATACTTAGAGAAATTTAGAAAAGATGATGTATAGGTGGTACATCACACCAGCAAAATTAGGAAAAATGTACAAAACAGGAAATAAGGCCTGCTGGAAGTGTAAAATCAAAGAAGGTAATTTCTACCATATGTGGTGGACCTGTGAGGAAATGAAGAAATTTTGGGACCTGATTTATAACGAGTTAAAAAAAATACTTAAATATACCTTCCCTAAAAGACCAGAGGCCTTCCTACTAGGAATAATTGGGGATGAAATTAAAAAAAGGATAAAACACTATTCCAATATTCGACAGTAGCGGCTAGAATATTAATTGCACACAGTAGCTGTTAAAGTGTTCTGGGTTTTAACCAACTAAGTCATCTTCAGGGAGGACCCATGAAAACCAATGGATTTAAGTTAGTCAAGTCCATTAATTTCAGTGGGTCTACTCTGAGTACTACTTAGATGGATACAACCTTCTGACCTCAATGGCTTCATCTATGAAAAAGGTCTGAACCAATGTCAACCTGAAGGTAATCAGTCTATGCTCTAAGGTAATTACTTAGACCTATCTCTGTTACAGACAGTAGAAATTTACTGATATATGCAATAAGTCCGAGGATCAGATCTAGGGCTGTTGGTTTAAGTGTCTGAATGCAGCAGCGTGGTAAGCAGCAGTACCTTCCTGTCCCAGTGCTCAATATGACTATTTCACGACCATTTTAGCAGGCAGCCCTATAGGTGCTCCATGTATTCTCTCACTCCCTTGAAGCTCTTAAAAGGTAGGGTATCTGGCAGTCATAAGCCACAACTGAAACACCCAGTGAATTGGCTGTTCTGATGGCTGTTGCTTGGTTGCCATTGCTCAAATCACAAATAGGTCAGTTGTGTGTCTTCTGTTCGACAGGCTGACAGATGACTTCGGAGGTCCAAGTCTGGTTTAAAGATAAAGAACCGTAAGAAGGGAAAGCAAGGTCTATATGTTGCCCGTCAACAGTTATCAGGACCTTGGACAGCAGACTAAACAGGCACAGAAGTAAATCCTGGTCAGAGTCTTCCCCACTATAGTGAGATCTGTATTGCATTCTTTATTTGAGTCATTGCAATTATTTTAAAATATGAAAATGTTAAAATTTATATAAAAATCTGTGCCCCCTTTTATGGCAACACGTTTCCTCTTTGGGATGAAGGTCACACTAATCGTGACTCCTCACTCCTATTTCACCTTCTGCTTTCTCTCTCTCCTCTCTGCACCCCACATTAAAGTTTATTTTCTAATTCTCCCCATGGCTGAGTAAGGTTCATAATGAGGTTTACCTAGATGTCATGCTTCCATTTTATTTTATATATATATCTTAGGGTTTAATTTTTTATATGTAGACTGGCTGGAGAACCTTGGTTATTGGGTGGTATATAAATACTGTAAATAAAATACTGTAAAAGATGGGAAGGGAAAGGAGACACATACCATCCCTTTGATCTGAGGTTTGGTACTATTTTCATCCCATGGGCCGTATTCCCTCAATGGCTACATGGAAAGTGGTGGGTGGAGCCAGAGGCAAAATGTAGGTGAAGCAATCGATGTGACTCTTAGCTCTATACAGTTACCTACATTCCAGCCATGCCAATGCCAGAGGTTTCTACACACACACACACACACACACACACATACACATACACATACACATACACACACATCCCTCTGTGCAGGCAAGCAAGAGGCATCATTACAGCTCAAGGATACACTGAAGCTGAGCAAAAGCACTCAAGGAGAGTATGGAGCAGGGGCAGTGAGAGGTGCTATGTGGGGAGTATTGTAGAGAGAGACCTGAAGTGCAACATTTTCCCCCCTAGGCTTGAGGTTTCCCATTTCTGCTTTAGTTACTTAACACGCCACTGTTCCTCTGAGTTCACACCACAGCCTGGTCTATTTCATAAGAAACACAGCTGCTGCATTGTCTTACAACCTTTCCTCCTCTTGTTTTGATCTGAACCCTTTTGATTCATAAAAGGCAATTCTATTACCAGCCACAAATGATGGACACTCGAACACACACACACCCAAAGGGGAGAGGAGATGGCTTTTTGATCCTACTGTAAAGGAGATCAGAACAAAAACTTTAATTGTCGGAGATGTGACTGTTTCAAAATGATGACCTAAAAAAACCACAAAAAAGTTGTGGTCAATGAGCAGTTGATAGAGAGCTTCTCAGAGCGTAATAGCTATTTATGTCCTTTGTAATGTAGTGTTGCAATAAGATGAGGCACTGTTGAGTCCACCATTCAGAAGTTCTTTTTAGCAGAGGGGAAACATGTATCAATGCATTTGCTTAATGTGAAATTCAAATCAAATCTGAAGGTTCTTTCACCAAGTAGGCATCTGAGGAATTCTGAGGAGAAGCCCAAATTTAACTGGACAGGATGCACATGTGCAAATGTTTGAGTGTTCCACATAGGTCTATGTTGCCACTTAACATTGAAACAAACCTTCAGACAAAAATAAAATCTGAGGAACTCTGGGATCCTATCAAGCTGTGCAACTACTGATGATGGGAACCTTTTCACTTTCCTTTATTAATGGGATCCGATATGTATTTTAATCCACCACTCTGCACATTCAAAGTGACCTACATATTCATTTAAAATCAACAGAACAAATAATGCCAAGGCAACATCAAGCAAATCCTTTTTCCTCCACCTTTTCTTTTCTTTTCAAGCAGGAATATATTTGTCAAGATCAGGAAACTTTCTCCACCCTGACCCCATAAGAGATAACAACTGCAAAATATATTTCCCCCCTCTAGAAACATGCAGGGATATGGAATGCTCCATCTGTGGTGGTCTTGGTTTGAATGTGTATATTGGTATAGTATTTCAGTAACAAAACCACAATATATAAACCAAAATATATAATCAGTACCAATAAAGAAAAACACAACACCCATACTGTGATACAAACTCAAAACCAATCCAGCTATAGCCACCCAAAACTAGGGCGGGGGGACTAAGTAAATTTCCATTAAGACCCAACCAACACATGCCTCCAGAAGGAAGATATTCCAGAACTTGGGTAATGCTAGTATTTTATAGCCATTAATGTCCTCTTCAACTTGTGCTCCTACTGCTCACTCTCAGCTAAGAACCACAGGACAAAAGGCCTACAGTTCATGCCCTTGCCATTCACCAGCTTTTATATAGTACCAAGGGAGGTGGGAGAAGAAGAGAAGCAAACAGTCTCAATAGCAGTGAGGCACCCCAATGTCTCTTCCACAAAACATATGGCTCCACACCTCCAGCAGCCCTTGCTACTATATGATGAGAAATGAGGACTCTCCTTTGCTGGAGGCATTTAAGCAAAGGCCAAATAGCCATCTGACAGGGCTGTTGCAGTAGCATCCCATTTGCAGATCCTGCAACGGACAAATGGTGTTGGAATGGATGACCTTCAAGCTATTGCCCAGCTCTGTGGGGCTTTTTTTTTATCACACACACACACACACACACACACACACACACACAACACACAGCCTTATTTTGACAAGAAGGAAGTTGAAAAGATTCTGATAAATTGAATCATTTAACTCTACGGTTTGTATTTCTACTTGATGCCCATCTCTTAAAACATAAGCCTTCCTCCACATGCACACAAACTGAGTAGTTTTTAAACTTTTCAGTGATATATTATGTTTTTCTAGAAAGCCTCGAGGGGAAATATTGTGCTCCAGGTATTGAAGAGAATTTCATACTTAAGAAAAATTATCACATATGGTAGTTTTTCCACCTCAGGAAGAAAAAAAAGGGAAAGAAAAGGCTCTTTATAGATCTTAAGTTGAAATCTTTAAAGTATTAACAAATGCTTTATCTAAGGATCAAACACCCTTTGAAGGATGGTAAGTAAAAGCGCAGCTGAGTCTCTGCAGGCTTCAGGTTGCAAAATTCTCTCTCTAGTGCATGTATCATTTTCTATATGTCGGGAGGAAGCTTGGTTTGACTTCCCAATTTGTCCCAGCACACAAGTTGTATGTGTGAAGGAATACGGCATGAACAAAGACCAACCTGCTCCCCTTTGAAATAAAAACAGCCAAAAATCTCAGCAACAAGGTGACAGTGGCACTATAATGTGGTTCCCACAAATAAACGGCATCCATGATGTTCTGTATTGGGCAGGAGGCAGGGCAGGAGGTGCAACTGGCTCAACACTTGATCTTTAGTTTCTTTGCTTTTCCACTTCCTGTCTGCCTAGGAAGTGGGTTCAGTGAGGAGGGCAAAGAGAGAAGAGAGGAGGGAAGGAAGGACGGCAGGAGAGAGAGAAGAAGAAGAGAAAGGGTGATGTGATGGGAAGATGAGCTGCTTGTGCGTAAAATCGTATTCCCTCAGAGTTTGTTCAAGTCCACAAACCTCTGTCTGTGACTGAGCCCCTCTGACATGGCTCCTCTAGTCACTAGAAGATTCCGACAGTGGCTCCTTCGTAATCGCTTCCAACATAAAAGCTCCTTAACGGAAACACGTCTTCTGGACTCTCTGCGTGACAGTTTCCGGCGAGGAGTGGGTGTCCCAACAGGAGGTCCGGAAACCTCACCACTGTTTTCGCTGGAAGTATCTCTGAGCCATCCCCCAGCTCCCTTTCCCTCAGTTCAGCTTCTCTCCCCTGCTGGTTTCCTCTTCAGCTGCTGAGTCTCTTCCAACCTGTCTGAGCCCTTTCACCTCCCTCAGTTCAGCTTCTCTCCCCTTGCTGGTTCCCTCTTCCGCTGCTGAGTCTCTTCCAACCTGTCTGAGTCCTTTCACCTCCCTTCCTTCCGATGGCAGTTCCCTGACAGGTGACAAGAGGAAAGTGGGTGGACTACCATCAGTGCTGGCCCCATTCACTTTTGACGTCAGCTCCACCGACCCTCAACTTTGGCCCCATTCATTCTTGATATGAGAGATCCCCCCGCCCCCGGGAAAGCAGTACTTAACATGAGAAAGGTTCCCAACCTCTGCTCTAACATTACCCCAAAACTGGCAGCAGGTGGCTTGTCACACTCTAATGGCATCATTGCCAATCAGTTCCTCGAGCATAGAAGTTTTTTAGTAGCCCATTTCCCCATATGCACATGTTAGATATTTTTATGCCACATAAGAAGGAATTAACCAACTCTTGAAATGCTTCCATGCCTAATCACCTGGAGGAGATTCTTACTCACCACAGAGGACTGGGCAAATGGCTATTTACAAACATGTTATTGCCACAATACTGTAAGTACAGCTCTGCCTCTTCCATATTCCTTATCTTTTGTGTTTGTGTCATGTGTCTTCTTAGAATGTAAAGCCTGTAAGCAGGGATTGTATACTCTTAATCTTTGCAAGATGCCTAGTCTCTTCCGAGGCACTTAATAAATCATTTTCCATGCCCAATAGTCTGTGAACAGCATAAGTTTCACTGACCATTGCATTACAGAAACTTTTCTTGAGGGCTTGATTAGGGTGTAATGAAGTTCTGTGTCTTAAATATCTGGGGAGAGCTTTTTTTAATGATATAAAGACCCTTTTAGCCAGTTTTATGTGCACACTATCATCTGCATATATTGGTGAAGCAGCCTTTTTCATGCTTTGTGGCTAATGTTATTCCCAGGGGGCACATTAACCAGATCCACTGGCTTTAGTCAGTGTGTACTTAAAAGCTCCCTTGATATGCATGCTGTCTTTAAATTGCTTGGTATTGCCAAGTAGAGCTGTTTAAATCATGGCTTGCATGTATGTGTCTTTATTTCCCCCCACAAAATTGTTGTTGCCATACTACATGGTTAAGAAACTACATGGTGAAGAAAATTAGCAACAAAAGCCTTGGCTTTTTCCAATAACTCTCCCCACCTTTCAAAAATGTGCAGAGCTCATGAACCCACTTTGAATCAAGATGAGCAGTTTCCTATCAGCCCCACCATTTGCCTGTGACAAGATATAAGCTTTGTTGTTCTCAAAGTTTCGCTCCCTCAATCAATTCCTTCCTTTCTCTTAATAAAATAGAATTGTACATCTAATTCCTGCCTTGTCATTGCCTGTAGTTATTTAGCTGATGCAGAGA